GTAGTGCACCTGCTGTAGGAGTGATTACCTGATGGTGCACCTGCTGTGGGTGTGATTACCTGATGGTGCACCTGCTGTGGGTGTGATTACCTGGTGGTGCACCTGTTGTAGGAGTGATTACCTGATGGTGCACCTGCTGTAGGAGTGATCACCTGGTAGTGCACCTTCTGAAGGAGTGATTACCCGATGGTGCACCTGCTCTAGGTGTGATTACCTGATGGTGCACCTGCTGTAGGTGTGATTACCTGGTAGTGCACCTGCTGTGGGTGTGATTACCTGGTAGTGTGCCCAGCAGGCCTCCCACATGCGCAGGGCCTCTGCGTCAGGAAACTCCCTCTTGAAGCAGAGCAGGACCCAGCGATGGCAGAACAGCATCTGCAGGCCGTCCTCTCCCAACTGGGTCAGGTGCTGGTGGAACCCAGGGTGCATGAGCCTCAGGAGCTCCCGTAGGTACATCTGGAACAGACAACGTCACTGTCACACACTGCACTGTCTCACACACACACACAGCGTCACTGTCACACACTGCACTGTCTCACACACACACAGCGTCACTGTCACACACACACACAGCGTCACTGTCACACACACACACACACACACACACACACACACACACACACGAGTGGGGTGTGCGTGTTCTGGCTGGAGCCTGGGCCTCACCAGCTGCCTCTCCATGTCCTCGTCGCGGGGCGAGCTGATGAAAATGGTGTTCTGCATCAGGCCCACAAAGCACCAGAAGGTGTCGCTCTCGTCCTGCACCTCTGACAGCAGGGGCGCCACCAGGTCCGACATGCCCTGGCAGTAGCCCATCTCCGGGTTGAACACGGCATAGTTCAGCAGGATGCGCCTGCGGAGAAGAGAGCCAAACTGACCCCTCCTGGACACAGACCCAGACTGACCCCACCCGGACACAGGCAGACCCCACCTGCGGGACCCCACCCGCCAGGATGCCCCTCACCTCATGATTTCCACGTTGGGGTTGTTGTCTCCCCTGAAGAAGCTGTTGCTCCGGTCAGTCCGCACCACATCCTTGTCCACCGTGAACTGGACCTTCCTCCAGAACTCGCTGTGCTCCTCCGGGCTCATGGACAGCCTGGCAGGGGACCGAGAGGGGAGGGGGGAGGAGTGAGACGCGGGAGCACAGCCAGCAGGGTGAGACCCGCTCCTGCCTGGAGCTCGAGACACACAGACAGGTGGGGCCGCAGCCCGGCAGGACACTGTCCCCAGGCCGGAGCCCGGCAGGACACTGTCCCCAGGCCGGAGCCCGGCAGGACACTGTCCCCAGGCCGGAGCCCGGCAGGACACTGTCCCCAGGCCGGAGCCCGGCAGGAGCTGACTGCAGCAGCGCGGAGGGCAGCTCACAGGGGCGGCTGCTGAATCGCAGCATCACGGGGCCAGGAGACCGCGCTAACGAGGCTAACGAGGCTAACGAGGAGCTGATTTAATTAAGTTGTTTGTTTTTGCTGCTACCGTCCCCCAGTGCCGGGAGCAAAACAGAAGGCCTGATGCAACTCTGAGCAACTCTGTGGCGTCTGTTTGCAAGCAGAATCTCTGCACAGCCTGAGCTTTTCCCTGAGAGCAAGACCCCAACATTCCTGCCCCCCCGTCACCCTAGCCCGGTGAGGACCAGGTGTGGACAGGCCTCAGCTGCTCGATTCCCAGAGTAGATCGGATCTGACCAAAGGCTCTGACCACTAGTCTTCACTCACAGTGAACCCCAGCAACGCTGTTCACCTAAAACACTTCCTTCTCTCACACAGGGCTCTCAGACTCAGGCCTAAGGTCTTCTGGATTTTGTTAAGTAAAAAATTAACCTAATTGTTTTCTAAATGAACCATATATATGTTTTGAACAGTTAATTTCACTTCATTAAAAGCACAGCTACTTAAAAACCACCTCTGAGCCCAGTTAGAAGTGCTACAATTACACATTTAATTAAATAATTAGACCACCTATGTAACCGCCAATGTGGTTGGAACGAAAACCAGGTTCTATAATTCCAGGAATGGAGTTTGAGCCCCTCGCCCTGACAGACAGGAAATAATTGGAAAAGGCGGCAGCAGTACTGTCTCGTGGCCTGTGCTCATCAGATCCCAGAGGCTCTGCTAGGCTGGCCCTGGTCAGTACTGGGGCATGAGACCTCCAAGGGAAACCAGGCTGCTGCTGTTAGAGGTGTTAGTGGACCAGTAGGTGGTGCTACTCCCTCTGGACAGGAATTTCCAACCCAGTGACCCAGTAAAGGGAGTGGGGATAGTGGGCTGCTGGAGGTTGGTTCCTTTGGATACGAAGTTAAACCGAGATTCAAACTACTTGGCGATACAGCGAGTTCTGTTGCAGGGGAAGGTGTCTGGTGTGGATGATTGGTGAGGGCGGTCAGGGGAGCTGTGAACCAGAAGTAGAATGGAGTAGTTGTTAATAATGGTCCTGGGGGTAGAGAGTGCGTTAGGGTGGGCGGGAGGCACCAAAGGAATGCAGTTCGTAGACCGGGAGTTCCTGGTCGAGTTGATGATCCGAGGGCTGTTTTTGGCTCTATACTGTACATGCTGACACAGCTACCCACCTGAACTAAATCAGGGCTCAGCTGGGAGGCTAGCTCCACCCAGTGCCTGTAGCCCCTCCCCTTGCTTAGAGCCCCACCTCCTGCTGTCTCCACCCTGTGCTCACCCCTGCTCTCCACGAGGAGCCACGCCCCCTTCACCTCTAGCCCCGCCCAGTGAATGCAGCCCCTCCCCCGGCTCACCTCCTCTGCTGTATCTCCTGGTACTCCGCGCGCTTCTGCACCCGCCACGCCTCTCTCTCCTGCGACGTGGAGTCGCAGCTGTAGTAGCGCAGCAGGAAGGGCCAGACCTCCCCGCGGATCGCAGGGTCAACGCCGCCGAAGAAAATCGCCTGGGTGGGGGGGTAGAACAGCCCGTCTGTCATCGCTGTTTATCAAGTCACCGAGGATGCCCCCGATGTCAACGAATCTACTTTTTAAAAAATAAGGAATTGGAAAAAGCTCCAACAAAGATTCAAGATGCCCTTGCACCGGGGGCATTTCTTACTGTTAAGCCCCTCACCCGGCGGCACAGTGACGACAGAGCAGCCCCGGCTTCAGCAGCAGTCGTACCGACGGCCTGGGGTCGGGATGTAGCCCGGCTGCAGTCGGCCTGATCACGGCAGATTCCCGACGCCTGTGCACATTCCTGGAACTCTCATCCCAGGACTGGCCGGTAGGACCGTTGCCAGGGCAACGTAGTAAACCGCGGTAAAAATAAACGAGGGCTGAACGGCGGTACCGCTGGGACAGGGGCCTCACCTTGCGCAGCTTGTACTCCTCCTCCACCTGCCCGCTCTCGTTCAGGTGCCGCAGCCAGGTGGCGACGTCGAGCCGGCGGTACAGCCTCTCCTCGGGGTGCGTCTCCGTCGAGGGCAGCGTGGGCCGGCGGATCGAGAACTGCATGCAGGTCTTCTCATCCGCCCCCTGGGAACCACACGGACTCTGAGCGCGGGGGGCCCCCAGCCTGGGGGGCCACACTGTAAAGCAGCAGCACCTGGACGGCTGGGCTGACTTCCTAATCGGCTCAGCTGGGCCTTCTGGGGACACAGGGGCCCTCCAGACCTGGAGACCTATCGCACCCGAGACTCCCAGTGCAGGGGACAGAGTGCCACTTTAACATGCCTCCTCCCGCTGCTCTGCCGACGAACAGCAGGGCCCGAGTTTCCTGGAGAAGCTCCGTGAGAGGAATTTTAAGACCCGCGTGTGGGAGCTCTCAGGCAGGAGCGCCGCTGAGGCGAGACGGACGTCTGACTGACAGCTGTCACACGGGCCGTCGCTGCTCAGCGTGACAAGATTAATAACGCCGCAGCGCTCTGCTGCAGACCGAGACACGGACAGGGGGGCCGTTCACGCAGGGGGACAGACAGCTGTCCTCACATTGGCTCATCGCCGACAACACCCTTCCACTCCAGACTGACCTGCTTAACTGCGACCACGCCCGGAACATGCCCCTGCTCGGCGCCAGTGTGGGCACAGCCGTGCGCTCACCTGAGTGGAGAGGCCAGGTGCTGCCCCTGCCTCGCCAGCCCCCCCGCAGGCTCACCTGGTCCTTCATCTGCGTCTCCCGGCAGCACTTCCACTGCTGGAAGACCTCGGCCAGCTTGTCCAGGCCGCCGTGGTGGAAGTGCAGGATCTTGTACTGGCTCTCCCGGCTGGCGATGACCAGCTGCCCGCTGGTGCACGCCTCGTCACTGCAACACAGCGCAACGCGGCTTCAGCAAGGGCACAGCGCCCCCCGGGGGGTAACTGTGCCACAGCACGGGACCAGCACAGCGAAACAACACACTGGAAAGTGTGGCAGATCATTCTGAAAAACATAGTGAAGCCCTGGAAAAACAGAAAAGCTGCTGTGTGGCATCATCGAGCAGCACCCAGAGGCGTTTATCGGGCCTGACCTGAAGAAGAGCCGCAGTGACCTCATGTGACCCAGGTCGACCCGGAAAACGCCGCAGAGCTGCTCCAGAGCCAGCACCTTCTGCTGCTCCTCCCAGCGCACGCTCTGCGACTGGCTGTTCTCCAGCGAGGGGGCGTGGCTGTCCAGGCTGGAGGCGGAGCTGGCGGAGTGGGTCATGGAGTCGTCGCACATGTCCCTGGGCAAGGCAACACGAACATACACAGCCCGTCATTCACCACGTGACAGGCATCCGCCGAGGTCAGGGCTGGGCATACAGCCCAGGTCCACAGGCGAAGCTGTCCTACAGCAGTGAAGGGTTAAAAATGCTTTCTCTGTACAGCATGTTCAGCAAAACACCAGCTGCAACATTAAAGCATCAGCTGCTGATAAGACCAGGGGCCTGCAGACACAAAGAATGCTTGTTTTAAGAATCCCAAGGAAATTGTTTTGGTGTAGAAGGCCAATTGCAACTACCTGCTTATAGGAAACACTGATATAGTTCAATTACGCAGACATCTTCTGATTAAAGTAGAAGTTTGCTTAACCAATAGAAAGTAATTAAGATTGATTTTTTGTTTTCTTTTTGAGACTTAAACTCTTTGTATTCCTCATCAAATAAATGTATAAAAGGCCAGCTGTAACTTTCCTTGTGAGAACCATCCTCCTATAATTGCAGGGAAGGAGCTTCTCTTCGGCTGAATATACAATAAACTCCTCTGCTCGACAAAAGGTCTCCAGTGGATTTTTACTCTTCAGCAGCTACAATGAGCGATACCATTCCCTGCTGCACAACAGCTGTGGACAGGAATGTCCCTCCTCTAACTGAGCTGAAGGCAGTTTAACAGAACTTAAATTTCAAATCCAGTACAGTGAGCGTCTCCTTCCCCATAGTCAGGGCCAGAGGTGTTAACTGGCCTCGTGTCAGTGAAGGTAACAGGGCTGCAGTCAGTCTCTGCTCGTCCTCCGGCTCTCCAGCAGTGCGAGACGAGGGGAACGGCGCCGATGAGGCCGCAGGCAGGACCCTGATTCAATTAAGACATGTTCATTGCAATGTTGCTGTTTTCACACCAGTGCTGTCAGTGTTCTCTGCTCCTGGAGCTGCAAACACTCAGCTATTTCTGCACCAGAGACGATAAGAGGTGTTACTGTGTCTTCTTCACTGACCAGGCTCCTGTCTTGCTAAATACACCTCCCTCTCTCCACTCTAAAGGAAGAGACAGACCGAAATCAAATTGTCTGTGGTTTAATTTTCTCTGCCATCTAATTCTGACTGTTTTGCCCTGAGTGTATCTGTCTCTGTCACTGCCCTCCAGCAGAACACATTGACCTGCCCCTGTCCAGCAGGACAGACAGACCTGCCCTCCCCCCTCCAGCAGAACACATTGACCTGCCCCTGTCC